TTGATGTTTAGACATATTCAATTAGTATCTCATAAACACTTATGTACGATATGATGCTTTGAAGCAAAAGATTAAATAGAAAGTTTATGTCCAAACCCACGGTATTAGCATAGAGGTAACTCTAAGACCACTGGGTCCCGAAGAAAATCATTATTATTTTTGGCTCACTCAGTACCAGAACAACGGTCCCAAGCAGTCCCAAGCTATTTCACTCACCCCTGCATGTTCTGCATGAATCCACACACCCCTGATGTTATCTGTCAAACTTTCATAGCGAATCAAAACAAACATAGTGTAGTAATAGAATTTCAACTAGAATAGGGTACGTTAATCGTTTGCTTGGGACCAATAGGCAACTAAAGTGGTGAGCCAATTTAAAATCGTTAGTTTCGTATTGATTGTTGGTATTACCCAGGGTGTCTACTAACTGCAAAAACCTGGAAAACCGAGAATCGTAATGAAATTTTATTTTGTCTTAAAATACCTGGAAGTATTAGCAACCGGTGGAAACTAACGATTTTAAATTGGCTCACTACTTGACTAGCCTATTGGTCCCAAGCAAATCGCCCCCATTCTAGTCGAAATTCTAGTACTACACTAAGTTTGTTTTGATTCGCTATGAAAGTTTGACAGATAAAATGAGGGGTTCGTGGAATTTCCTATGTTTCGAGGGGTGCATCGATTAGCTTGGGACCGAAGAGAGTACCAGATCTGAGTCAAAAAGTTGAGCACGTTTCTTCGGAACCTTCTAGTCTTAGAGTTACCTCTATGGTATTAGCAACAATCAATACGAAACTAACGATTTTAAATTGGCTCACCACTTTAGTAGCCTATTGGTCCCAAGCAAACGATTAACGTACCCTATTCTAGTTGAAATTCTATTACTACACTATGTTTGTTTTGATTCGCTATGAAAGTTTGACAGATAACATCAGGGGTGTGTGGATTCATGCAGAACATGCAGGGGTGAGTGAAATAGCTTGGGACTGCTTGGGACCGTTGTTCTGGTACTGAGTGAGCCAAAAATAATAATGATTTTCTTCGGGACCCAGTGGTCTTAGAGTTACCTCTATGGTATTAGCCAGGGTGTCTACTAACTGCGAAAACCTGGAAAACCGAGAATCATCATGATTATTTTTCCCTTAAATACCTGGAAGTCTCAGAGAATTTAATGATTTTCTTACTAAGGATATTTTAAAGAAAATAATGAATTTAAAAAAAAGAAACATTTAATTTTTCTCGTTATTTTCATTCACATTTTGAATTTTATAGATCCACAGTGGATTAATCTTCAGTAACAAACAAATAAAAAAAAATCAAAGGTTTGAAATGATTTTTTTGTTGTTTTGAAACAAGCATATTTCCTAGAAATTTAAAATTTGAACTAGCTCTGAACTGGAATCAAATTTCATGCACATTTTTAAAGGCTCGTGGAATTTTACTATAATTTCTAATGACCTCATTCCAAGGAAGTTCTGGGGAAAAAAACTTTCAGAAAAACATCAAATGCAATCTGCTTTCAAAGGTAGTTCTGAGGTATTTTAGGTTTCATGAAATGTGCAGTTTTGAGTCTAATTTTATTGAATTGAATTAAAAGTTAATTTTAATGGAAACTCTTAGGAATTTCTAAGGAGCACTCTAAGACCAGAAGGTCCCGAAATAACGTGCTCAACTTTTTGGCTCAGCTCTGGTACTCTCTTCGGTCCCAAGCTAATCGATTCACCCCTCGAAACATAGCAAAAACCAATAACCCCTTGATCGCGCACGGGCGGGACCCTTTTTACGTTGTGTTTACGGAGAACTATATAAATTAAAACACGACCGTTGGATTGGCCGTCCTGCCATGGCGGAGGCATACGAACTATATATTTATTTGTCAAATAATACAATACAAAACAGTACACAACAGAAAGAGACACTTATGATTACTTTTGTAGCGACATCTGTGTGAGGATAGATGTACCCCTTGAGATAGTAGGGTAGTTGCGCATGTAGTAGACGTTTGCACAAACACCCCTCATTTTATCTGTGAAACTTTCATAGCGAATCAAAACAAACATTGCGTAGTACTAGAATTTCGACTAGAATGGGGTACGTTAATCGTTTGCTTGGGACCAATAGGCTAGTCAAGTAGTGAGCCAATTTAAAATCGTTAGTTTCGTATTGATTGTTGGCACAACTGCTATGAACTTCAGAGGAAAATTCCAAGGGCATTCTGTGGATAATTTTATAAAGTTTGTGGGAGAAAACGAATCTGGAGCATAAGCCCATGATTATTTTTTTTTTGAAAAAACTAAAAAGAGGATTACAATTAAAGCTGAGAGTAACTCCAGGACATCTTCAAAGGCATTCGGAAAATAAATTCAGGAAGTTGGCCAAGCAAATTATGAGAAAAATCTAAGGAATTTATTTGGAGAAATGCCAATGAATTCTTTGGACACTTGCAATGTGAGTAGAATTCCAAAGGAAGGAGTGAGATTCAAAAGGAAATTTGAAATGAATTCAATTAATTTTCGGATAATCTTTCCAAAGAGTTTCTTATTGTGAAGGTAATTCCGAGGAAAATTAAAAGAAAATTTAATTCTGAGGATAGCTTCATCAAAATCTTAAGGAATATTTCAATGGAAATCTCCGTTGAATAAGGAATGGACAGTTCTGAGGTCTTCAGAACTACTTGAAAGTTCCCAATTTTTTCCTGAAGTTAATGAAACTTGAAGTTCATGGTAGTTTGAGATTTGATGCTCACAATACTTCTCATCAAATTCTTAAACATCCCTGAACTTTATAGGACTTCCTGAAGTTTCCTCAATTTTTCTAACGATCATGGATCCCCTCTAAAGGTTTAACAATTCGCTGAAGTTCTCTAAACTGCTTTAAAATTTATGTGACTTCTCTAATGTTAACGGAACTGCTCTGAGGTTCTCTGTTCTTTTCTGGAATTCTCAAAACTTCTCTAAAGTTTTTGCAGTTCTCATGAAGCATGTTGTACTGCGCTGAATTTAATTGAACCGTTCTAAAAATGTTTAAGCCGGGAGATGAACCAGCCGGCGGCTGAAAATTTCGATAACAAAAAAAAACAAATGTTTAAGCTTTAGTGAACTTCAGAACTTATTTTCAATGAAGTTCTCAAGATTTTTCTGAAAATCATGAAACTTTCCTTAAATTATAGATACTAATTTAAAACTTCTTCAATAGGCTAGACTTTCCTGGTGTTATTAAAACTGCCTAAACGATAAATGAATGTCTAGGCTGCCCTGAATTTATGAGTATTTTTTAAGAACCCGCAACTTTACTGAAATTAATTGATTTGCCTTGAAGTTTCGACAATTTTTCTTAAGTATTATCTATGCTTACCTGGAGTTCTCCAAATTTGTTTAAAAATCCGGCAAATTTTCTGATATACATTCGTAATTCCTTGACGCTTCTGACGTTTTCGGATCAATCATAGAATTCTTGGAATACCCCATAATTCCAAGGAACTCCTTGTAAATCGCTGCAAATTTGCTTAAGTTAATCGGATTATTCTGAAGCTATCTGATCGTCCGCGAAGTACTCGGAACTTCGCTGAATATAATGAAACTATCTACAAATACCTAAATTTATTAGAAGTTCTGTGGAATTTCTTGAAAATATCGCTGCTTGTTAAAACTTATCGTATTTTTTTTTAAATTAATGGTTGATGTTCTCTAATCAACTTAACGAAATATTCGCATTTTTTTAAGTTCTTGAAATCTCCATGATATAACACCCTTAAAATACTCACACGTTTTCCGGATGTTCATATAATTTTTTATCACGTTCTAGAAATTCTCTCGGAGCTTTGCTGAAGTTTCCGGAAATTCCCTGATTTTCTCGAAATTTCTTTGAAATTATTTGAACTTCCCTTTGATTCTCTGATCTGTGTGATGTTTTCTAAGCCTTTTTAAAGATCTCAATTCTATTGATGATCTCGGTTGTGCTCGGAAATAAATGGAATTCCCGTAAACACCTTTAAATTTCCCTGAAATTCTCCTGTAGTTCCTGAAATATGTCTTAAGTTTTCATACATTATCTGAAGGTCTCTGAAATTCTCGGAACACACATTTTTGTTACAGTTCGGTATGTTTGGATCATGGTTTTTTTAATGGCTTCAATCAATCGAAAACGTAGCTTCTGATCGAAATCTGTTTCGTCAATTTTCCTCATTTTCTGGCAAACTTTTAAGGTTTTCCACAGAAAAACATTAGGCAAATTTACTGATCGCTGAGTTCCTGCACTTTTGGCGATTATGAGTAAGCTAAACTCAAATTTGGGTCGTTCTCATTGACCGTGTAGGTACCCATTTTCGCCTCGCAGTACCGATTTGATTCGTGTTCCTAATTTAGTGAATGTCCAATCAAATTGAGCATATTGCATGTTTTTTCAACATTACTCCGTTATGATTGAGGCTATTTGCTCCTATTCTTTAGCTCTCCGTGTTTTACTAAACCATAAAGGAATTTCACTTGTTATAATGAGCCGAAAGTTCAGTAGCCTAGCTGAAGCACAGAAGTAAATAATTGATTTTTTGTCACCTCGATTACCGGCATTCACGAGCGAAGGCGGATTGTGTGGCCTCGATTAAGAGCACAAAAGCCTTGACCCGAGTTTCCCATGGTAGCTAATTGATGCATGAGTAGTTCCAAAGGGGTTGCTATGCTAGTGCGGTAATAAACATTTTATTACTCCTTATTCTCCAACACCCATGGGACACGTGGGGTGCAGCAATTGGCGCCCCTAGAAATCGATAAATTGGTCACTTCGTCAGAAGAACAATGTAGGTAGAAAGTCGCCGGAGCGAATTAATTATTCACTCTTTCACGTAAAACCAGACATTCGTCTTTGGAAAAAAGCAGGGGGTACCACCTATTTCAATAATGCACATGAGAAAAAAATAGCTTTTAGACAATCCGTTTCGTGTGGACCATAGATTGATATCTCATCATGCGTGACTCATCTACAAATGTATTTCCTCTGTACAGGTTAAGATTTTAAATCTGATGGCCGGCGAGCACATGCAGGAAGATTTCCTGAAAATCAATCCCCAACATACAGTCCCTACAATCGTTGACGATGGTTACGTCCTGTGGGAATCGAAGGCAATTGCCACTTACCTGGTAGAGCAGCACAAACCGGACAGCTCGCTATACCCAGCGGATCCGAAGAAGCGCGGAATCATAAACCAGCGATTGTACTTTGATTCGACAGTCTTGTTTGCCCGTTCGTTTGCTGCCATCGCTCCGGTTTTGCGCCAGGGAGCCACCACCATTCCGCAAGAGAAGAAGGATGCCATCAAGAGTGCCCTCGGAACGCTGAACGGTTACCTTGACGGACAGGAATGGGTTGCCGGAGAGAATACAACCGTTGCCGATCTGTGCCTGCTGGCGACGGTTTCCTCTCTTGAGGTAAGAAATTCAATGGCTATTTGCATTCGCTCGGTGGCTTATGTTATTTCAAAATATACATACTTACAGAAACTTGGCGTAGACATGAGCGATCTACCGAACATCACTGCCTGGTTGGATCGTTGCAAATCCCTGCCGGGATTCGAGGAGAACGAACAAGGTGCCAACATGTTTGGAGGCGGTATCAGCTCTAAATTGGAGGAGCCTTTTTAAATCATGTTTATCAAGAAGAACAATAGATAATTTCATCGATCACAAACAGCCTTATTTATTTAGAGTGTATTTGTTGTTTGAGAATCATGTCGAACAGATAAAAAACAAAATCAAAGAGCTTAATGTGTAGTTGTTTTGTTAAATGTAGAGAGAAACAAATTTAAAACAATGCAATAAAGTAATTGAAAGCAATGCACCGAGCACTGAATGGCAAACAAATCGTTTCTAATTGACTAATTGAAAGAAAATCAAACGCAAAGCAAATGCTATTCTTCCTGTAGATGAGCCATCAACTGAATCGAATGAGTATCTGGAAGAGTAATGATTACAAGGAGAATGAAATGGTAAGTTCAAAATAATTTTAGTTTCAATTCATCCTACCTTCTTGACCATTTTCGACATAGTTATCTTAATGTGCATATCATTCATCGAATGTCCTTGTGAGCAAATGAGCTGGAGTTGTAGTTTCTATAGAGAAAAGTAAACCATGTAGGACGATCACCGAGAATAATTTGATACTTACTCATTGGTTTCTTTCCCCCAGCACCGTTTTTGGAGCAACTTTCGATTCTGATCCTTTCCACTTCTTCGTCACTACCTTGATGTTCTCGTATCTTCGTTTGATTCCACGTTGTGCCTTAGGGCTGTCCATCCCCTGCGACGTCGACTGACATGTTACATTTCGGCAGAACGTCAAATATTCAACCAATCTCGAGCACAGCATGACCGATTTGGGTTTAAAAAAGGATTTGTTCTCTTGAATTGCATCCAGAATGGAATTTCCAGAATACGGTAGCAACGCCATGCTGCCTTTGTTTGTTGGCATGCCATCGGTTGGTTGCATTATAGATGAACACCCCGTAGATATGGCGGCAACTTGTTCATCGACAGGTGGAGTTTTCTTGCACCATTTCCGATCGTCCTTGTCGTATGGAATAAATCGATAGCACTTATTCCGCTGATTGCGAATAATTTGTCGCTTACGTTCGGCATGGTACAGACGCATTCGGTATTCCCTTTGATCCCAGAACGAACGAACTGGACGATAAATTGCCATTGGAGCTGTTTCGCTCAGTAAATGCTCATGCTTTCGTTGATCCCACAGAGATACAGGAGGATTATACACGACGACTGCCGAGCAATTAGCCTCGCTTGTATCGGGTTGGATCTCATCCGATAGAGCGGCACGCAATTCCTCCAGATCATTCATGAATTCTTCATTATCGTGCTGAGCGATTGCTTGCTGGGTATACACATGTTGGGAATCCGGAAGCGTGCATTGCGTGAGTGTCAAATGATCGCTGTCATCGTGGATCGCATAGAAATCCGTATCAGCTGTGTAATACAGACCACTCGATTCATCATAGCAACTTTCCAAATCGGCAAAATTTACATCCTCACCATTCCAAGAGAGGGTAGTCGTTTGACATACGGCTTGAGAAGAGCTTCTTTCCACACCGATGACATCATTGTCTACCTGAGCACCCGGCAGTAGAGATGAGCCAATCCGATGCAGAATGTCCTCAAGCAAGGATACCCGTTTCACATAGGGTACGACGGTGCGACAACTGTTCGTTGAAATAGGAGCTTTAAGGTTCTGATCAAGATACTGCTTTAGATGGACACTGATAGTGATACGTCGACCGACATACGGGACTAGAGATCGACATTGGTTCGATTGGTAGGCGGTTGAGCTGAAATGTATAGGAATTAGTATTTGCTCATCACGATTAAAAAAGCTCCCATTGTTCGAATAAAACCTTGCATTTCCTTAGTTTGAATCAATACAAAGAGCCCGAGAATACAAATTGAGAAATGTTTGGGTGTGTGTGTGTGTGTGTGTGTGTGTGTGTGTGTGTGTGTGTGTGTGTGTGTGTGTGTGTGTGTGTGTGTGTGTGTGTGTGTGTGTGTGTCATCCTCTATCCCTCACCCAGCCGCGTTAGACAAGTAGACCTGCGAATAATTTGATCAAATCTCATGCTCCGTTATGGTGCCCTTTATGTTGTGAAGACTATAGTACTTCAAAAAGGGTAACTTTTAAGGCAATACAGGGTGTCCTCAACAAGTTAAGGGAACAGGATGCACTAGATATCCACAACAGGTACAAAAAAAGTATCACATAGACGCACTTATTCACACTTACTACTCAGGGGTAGAAGGTCAAGAAGAGCCACCGCCGCCAACTAAAGCTTGAACCGGGTACCAGGGACTCCCACGATATACCCGCGGCAATAGTCAGCATACGATGCCCTTGCTAATCTAATCTAACACCAACACAGCCAGTTCATGAAAGCATCCTGGAAAATGATAGATATACCTCCATCCTTTTTCTTGTCTATTTGATACATTTTGTACATCAGAGATGCGCAAAATATATCAATACGGCCAGGCCTACTGTGCAGCATTTAAGGGGCAAGATGATTCAGAAACATCGGGCCTGTTTAAAACGAAGATTTAAACACGATGCTTCAGAATCCAATAAATGTATGAAACGTGTACACCTCGTTCTGTTGTTATAAATGATTGGTCGTTGGGACCATCTAATCTTAAAAAGTTAAATAATGCTCCATTTTCCTCGAGTGGTTGGGACATGAGCACTAACTCTTGTCTTAGCCCTAAAAAGAAAAAAAATGGAATAAAAGGCCGTAGGAAATTTTTTTTAAGGCTTTATTAAAGAGATTTTTAGCCTTAGGCTAGTTCATCTCTAGGCCGTAGGAAAAAGGAAAAGGAGGAAAGAACCCTAGTTCTATCTTCCCTTGGGTAAAAACTGAAAAAAACGGGTCTCTAATCAATCTACATGAAAAGTTCGCTAAAACTCACAATGACTCGTGAACTTTTCCTTTTGTGTGCTTCATAAAACCTCGCAAAATTTTCCAACGCTGAACACGAACAGGTTAGAGCTACACGCAGAGAAATGATTTTAAATTCAAATGGATATACTTTTGACACAGGGCCTAATATGTTTTTGGTATTGATTCAAATACATTATACGATTAATTCAACGAAAAATATTTTTGTTGTAGAGTCGATAATCCGTTTGTTGATTCTAAAAACCATTTTGTTGATTCTAAAATATGTTTTGTTGAAATAGTGATACTAACGGCGCCGGTGGTGTAGTGGTAAGCGTGATTACCTCTCACCCCAACAGGCCTGGGTTCAATACCAGTCGGCGCCGCCGGGATGTTCTAAGGCATAACATCTCTGATCACGCCTTCCTTCGGATGGGAAGTAAAGCCGTTGGTCCCCGGTTCATGAGTTGATGGGTCGATAGGTAGGGTCCAGGTGTGGGAGCTGCCTTCCTGGCAGGTCGGTAGCATTGATGCTCAGCACGGAAAACAAGATCGACGGAAAAAACAAACCAAAGGAAAAAAAAGAAATAGTGATACAATATCTTTGAAACAATAACAAAATACATTAGGCCCTGAAACAAACATCAATTTTTCTGCGTGTAGATTTTAGTAGAGATATATTATAAATTTAAAAACATTTAAATGAAAATAAAGGGAAGAACTCAGCAAATTTCATTTATTTTGTACTCTTACTGTCCTGCTGCACTACTGGCACTTCCAAGACTTTTCCGGGTTATTGCGAAACTAGTTCAAACATTCTTCAGGCAAATCATGATCACAAAAACGGAACTTTAAGGTACAAAGCATCAAACGTCTAAAACCAGAAAAAAAGCACTAGGACGACTCTCTTGCCGAATGAACCAATTGGTAAATCTATGTTGGAACTTGGCCATACCCACTCGTTCTCAACCTTTGACAATAGCGCATTCGACATTTGATTTCTCATCAAAATACAGCACGAAAGCGGCTCTTCGAAATGATAGACAAAGTTGTAGAAACCGAAACAGATGAATATATAAACAGGAACGATCTCACCAAATGAACGATGGTTTGCCCGAGAAGGAAAAACTTGGAAGACTGTTGCATCTCCTAGTTCTAGCTCAACACTTCAAACCATTCCATCGGATCTTCAAAGAAACTCTTGCACAATCCGCCTCCAATCCAATCAGAATCATCAGGCCAACTTGCCAATCGCTTCATAACAGTTCTGACGAAAAGGATGCTGATAAAAAAAAACACTTTGAAATGCATTTTACCCGATCACTTGCACTTGCTTTGTACTAAAGTTCTTTTCTAGAACTATGTTATCGAGTGGCACATTGTTTCGGGCTAAAACGCAATCGCAAACGCAAAATCAATGACAGAAAAAATTAAGCCTAAAATTTTAAAACCTATGATTTTCTGCTCAGTAAGCAAAATTGGTCGCCACAAGGCCAACGAGCTCCTTAAATCACAGAAAAATTACGTGCAAGTTCCTGTTCAACTTGCTTTCACTAGATTTCGATCCCAGCGGTGATCTTACCGACGTCGACAGCAACTGCTCTTGAGAAGGGTTTTATATGTAATTCCGATAAACACATTAGCGGTTAGGGTTGCTACGGTATACTTCGGATACTAGTGACACTCACGCCTCTTTTGAAATTCTTAGTCTGACTGCGTTCAGGAATAATGCTAGGAAGTTAACATTATTTCCAATCTAAACAAGAATACCAAAAGCATTACTGTCACTATTCCCGGCCACGCCTATATTTACCGTTACTAGGGATAGGAAAGGAAATGTTGATGTTGTACTTGCTCAACGAGAGACCACCGAATTAGTGATACCCTCATAAGTACTATTGAGTTGGAGTATTGGATACGGAATTAGGTCAGGATACGCCTCAACCAGGCGATGCAACCAAAAGCAAATGATTGTTTTTTTTTCTTTTTTTTTTTTTGAGGAATTTGATTATAAACCCACGATCTTATGCACAGTACGCAAACGCAGCAGCCGCTAAGCTAGCCGAGCTCAATTTGTTTTCTTAGTACTATATTAGTGAAATTTCTATGGAAAATAATGTTACGAACTAAATAAATAGAAAGGAAGGATCTCACCCGAATAATCCTTGAAGCTCCCGAATACAGTTCAGAAAAGTTTCTTGGATCTTGATTAAGGAAAACCGCTACTCGTTGCCAGCCCTCGGAAAGAGATGCATCAAATGCAACAGTCCGGCATCTCTCGGTATCATTATAAGCCTGCTGGATTCACACCATCGTGATCATCTTGATATCTTCGTTGCCCATCAGCTAAGACAGTTCCCAACAAACACCGCTCCTGGATCTTCATTTTTCTTTTTCTTCTTCACTTATCATCCGCCATATTTCGATCCCGTCCATGAGATTTTAAGCAATTGAACAATCAGAAGTTTGTTTAAACATGACATAAATCATTTTATAAAATCACCAAATGAAAATCAGCAGTAAAATAAAAAAAAAAAAACGTGTCAACTTTCCAGCACAACCTACTTCGATGTGGTCAGCATACGATGCCTTGTGCGTATTTAGGCTGTGAACCATTTGCCGAGTTAAATTTAACTCATGGTTAAAAGTGACATTTCGAAAGTTATTTTCTATGTTCGAAAATCCCTGTGCTGTCAATCGACCGGTTTTCGAGAAGAACTCAGCCATAGTTGTCAAAATTTAGTTTCTTGTCTGTCAGAAGTAACCACACTCGGATAGCAGGGTTAATCAATAACTTTCCATCTGTTAAATTTTAAACTAAAGTTAAAATAATCCACCAAATGGTTCAGAGCCTTAGTATGTAATAATGTTTTATTTGGCTATACAAAATGTTTGAAGCCATGCGTCATCATAACCATAATTTGCATCACCAAAAATACACTTTTCAACTGGAACGTACTCACCAAATCATAACACCCGGGAGCGCATTCTCGATGCTTTCACACATATTTTTCTCTAGTGATTTTTAAACAATTCCTCCTCCATCGATTCCAACCACACAATAACTAAATATCACTTTTCTTCGCTTTTCTTTTTCAAGTCAATCTGAGAATACAAATTGAGAAATATGAGCATAAATTTCTATGAGTACTTCAAAAGCGTAGAAGCAGAATTTGTGCTGACTTGACATTCTTCATGAGAAGTGTGACGAAGAACGATTATTTTGATTCCAGAAAAACTTGCAGAACAGGAAAGGCATGACAATTACCATTGCCGGCCACACCCATCTTCTCCATTACGGGAAAAGGAATGATATTGTTGATGTAACATCTATTTAACGGGAGGCCAGCGACACACCGACGCACCATAAATGCTACGGAGCATGATGGTAGGGGTAGGATATTGTGAATAACTGACCATCAGATATGGGTCAGGATTCGCTTAAGCAGGCGATGAGACCATTATAATGATTTTATTTAGGAGGAGCTTGCGAGTAAACCCACTATCACTGCTCTTCGATTCCAGAGAAACTTGCTTCGTAGCTAAACTGCTGTTGTACGGTGTATAAGAATTGCTAGAACATGGGATAGTGATCATGAAACACAGGCATAAGTAAGCGTAGATCAACATGGTATGCGGAGACTGTTAAGGTGCACCGAATTGCCACAGATGCCTGTTCGACTGTTCTGTTAGGGGCGGTTCAAAACAGTGCCTGACCTCCATATTAGGGGCGGCTGATATAGTCGTAGTAACAGCTGTCCGGTCACGGCCAATTTCTGCCACGACAGGAACTGGGACGATAGCTCGACTTACGTTGCAATTAACTCTTCATGATTAGCCTTGAAAACGGTTGTTTGATTTGCGGCTGTCACTCGAAAGAAAGAACGCGAGAGGTAACTAAAATTAATTGCATTTCGATGTAGACTGTATAATGGTTGATTACATAATGAGTGGAAAGCGTAGTAAAGTAGTTAATTTGCTTTTTTCATTTATCAAGGTGTTACATTTTAATTGATTAATCCTGAATGGCTGTTTATCTTTGGATTGGTATCAAATTTTAATAAATTCATATGAAATTTATCGTTCGTCAACTAGTATTATTTCCCCTTAGGGGCATATTTAGTTAGAATTACTGGCAATTCCAGCGCGAGGGCAGTTGAAACCCCCCCCCCCCCCCCTTTCTCCCCTATTATGAACAGTGAAGTAAAATTTTACTTAATCGATGACAAACATCTTTTACCCTTTTTACAAAGAAGGTTATACATATCGCTTGGAAAACCAGCTGCCGATCCGAGACCCGGAGGGCCGGCTGTCATATACTAATCTGCTCAGCTCGACGAGTAGGAAAATGTCAGCAAGCTTATTTTTCAGGGACAGGATGAACTTCCTGTTGATAACACGGACACAGTGATCTTATCAAGGTGGTATTAGTTTGTACTCCCTGAAAATTAGCTTGTTGTCTAGGGTTCGTTCAAGGTAGACTTAGCGACAGATGTGACCATTCCACCACTGAGTCGTTTAGGCAGATCTTGTTGTTGTCAGACAGAACCAGTCTAGGTGATGTGGAAAAATAATGACCTGGTTCTTCTTTACGTTGATACGCATCTTCGAGTTGCTGAAATACTTAGACAGGACATTCTGAAGCAGTCAAAGCTCCGATGACCCTTCCCTTGTAGACGATGGATGTGCCATCTGCGAACAGAGACAACGTACCACCATGTGGGGGAGCAGGAATATCAGAAATGTCTGATTGAACAGGACGGACCCAATAATACTTCCTTGGAGTACACCCTTACCGATGTTAAAGGCATCTGAAGTGGAGCCATTGAGAGAGACTTGGAATCTCCTATCCGAGATATAATTTGGGTGATTTTTACGAGGAAGATCGGAAGACCGTACCGTTGCAACTTGATCACCCTATTGAAGAGTCTCTGTAAACCATCGATTGCGCTGAACATGCTATAATTAGTTCGTTGTATGGGTAGGCGCAGCATTGAATTATTCCGTAGAGCTGTGGGTTGAACACTGATGTCAATTTGCTCAAGGAGAACAGGGCAATCGGTGCGATTAGCAATGCAAAACTAAAGAAAATTGAAAATAGGAACAAGTGGGTGTTCATTGAGGCAAGCAACTCGCACCAACTCATAGCTGATTTGCAACATTTTGGAGTGTTTATTGGTTTAATGGCGAGCATGTCTAACGGGGTAGATGTTCCAAGCACCCCTGTTATAAGATCAGGCATAACATTTGATAACGGCACAAAAGCATTTGTAAACAAACTTTCTAAGGCCCTTTACACGTAAACCAAAGTACGCCCACGCATAGCAACAAGATCATCGGATAGGGGCAACTATCACCTTTCCGAAAATGGTATTGGTTTGCGTGGGCGTACTTTGGTTCGCGTGTAAAGGGCCTTAGAAAGTTTGTTTACAAATGCTTTTGTGCCGTTATCAAATGTTATGCCTGAGATGACACAAACTAAGAAAATTTAAGGTTCTGCCTAAGGTTTTTCTTAATGCAAGAATATGTATTTCAAATAAAGTTATGAGAAATTAGTGCAAAATCATGCTTACTTAGAGGGCAGAAAAAAGCTAAATTATTTTATTTATATTAAGACGGACACACTTACCTTTTCGACAGCTCACTGCAATTATTGCCGGGACACATCTGCAGGAAGAATAAGCAAAAAGCCGTTAAACTGCATATTCTTGCATATTAAAGATGCAATTAAATTATCAAAACACTTAAGCTATTTTTGACTATTGTCAAAGCTGAGTAAATAGTACTGGCAAATACTGAATAATCTATGAACCAATCAACTACTAATCAGTCAAAACACGGATTTTTAGACATTTTTCTGTAATAGAAAGAAGTAAATCGGATCAGTTTCAGACAACACTTTACCGACAAACGGAAAGGCCTTACCACTCACCTTCGCTTTCTTCGGCTTAACAGCAGAGCTGCTTGCCGCCATCATCTTTCGTTTCATGCTACGTGTCATCGGAGGTTCGACGGTCGCTTTAAGCACTGCGGGACTACCCATGGCAGAAACTACAAGCACCACCGACGGTGCCGCTGTTGTACTCGTTGCTGCATTCGGATCAGTATTCAAACAAGCTTCGAATGTCTCGTACGTAGAGGGATCGGTAACGCTACCGTCAATCGGTATTGTTTCCGAAAGGTCCGAATGATAAATGGTGCTGGCGCATGTGCCATTATCCTGGCTACTCGAGATAGGATCATATTCTATCATCGATGATAGCGTATCGGTGCTGACATCCACCGAAGTCGATGGCTCGGTAAGTTCCGGTTCCTCAACCGAGAGCATTGGTTCTGCTGGCTCCAGCACCTCATCGGCGCCTTCTATATAACAAAAAAGGATTTTAAGTGGGTTTAGGTTTTTTGAAAAGCAAATGGACAACATACCGTACGACAGATCCAACATTTCAATCGAATCTATGACAGGAGCATCACGGAAGACGTCTTGTGCGATGTATCCCAGAGGTTTCTGCTTGATTTGAACTGGTTCAATCGCCGAACCACTTTCTTCTTCAAGGGTACGCAGCAGACCAATTTCGTCTTCGCTTACAGTAACCTGAGAAGATGTTTGTGTATCAGATTCTTGTTTAATGCTTAGCTTCTTACGTTGTTCCTCAATTATGCTTCCGCCTACGCTAAGTTCATTGTACGGATCTTCCCCAAAGATTGCACCCTCGTCCTCAACCGGTTCTGGGTCCACGTCCAGAAGTTTTTCATTGAACTTCTTCCCGAAGGATGGTCTAACTGGTATGGCCAACGGTGTTTTGTTGATGTCAAACGGATCTGGTTCCGGTACCTCACACTTCGGAACGCAGGATTTCTCGAACATGTTCTGCAGCTCCGAATCTACGTCCATCTCGGACAGCTGGGAATCAGTCTTGCCTAGATCACCGCCCTGGTCGTCTCCTATACCAAAATCCATATTAATCGTTAGTGCCTTCTTCTTGAACTCGGTCCACGCAAGCTCTTTCTCTATGTCTGTCAAATCTTGCTCGGTCTTATTGTCGAGCATGGTTTCGTGCGTGTGGTATCGAAAGATAAGCTTGGGAAATTTCAGCAACAAAGTGGACAGTACATCATCCACCGCTGGGGCCGATATGGGACGGGCACTCATGTTGACGCGTTCAAAGTGGTACAGTTCCTCAAGTTCTGCCATGTTGTAATTGCGGTCCACCTGTTTCTTGTCGGCCACCCGGTGACTCATTGCTTGTTTAGTGACAGCACGGGAGTAGACTTTCTCCTCCATCGTATGCTGAGAATGGTAAAATTAAGAAAATAAGACACCCAAAAGTGATAAACGCGGTTGATTAGACTTACAATCGCCAGCAGACGATAAATGTAGCAGGACTTCTGTTGTCCCAAGCGATAGATCCGGAAAATTCCTTGCTGATCTACAGCCGGATTCCAAGACGTATCCAAAATCACAACACGGTTGGCCCCTACCAAATTGATTCCCTGTCCACCAGCCTTGGTGGAAATGAGGAATACTCGCGTCACTCGGTTCTTTGGATCGTTAAACTTCGTTATCATTTCATGCCGGATGGATTTGGAAGTACCGCCATCTAGGCGGTAGTAATCCATTCCCGGCCGCCAGGGCCCTCGGAATCGCGAAAATCCATACAGCTGGGCCTTCGGGTTCTTGCTCTGCTCATCAATCATCTTCATAAAATGCTCTACCATGTTCAAGACCATCACAAAGCCAGAGAAGATTAAGCATTTTTCGCCATGCTCCTGACACATTCGAAGGATTTCGAATAGCAGCAGCATTTTGTTACTTGGGAACAGAGACTCGAAATCATCCTTGCTGATCATTTGCTTCCACCATACGTTCGTAATAGATCGCGCATTGTCTGCGTCGTTATCGTCGTCGTCCTCCGAGCTACTGTCGAATCCTCGCACCCGACGGGCGGCACGGCGCTTCTCCTTGATACCGTACTTTTTCTGATAAATGGAGTTAAAAATCCAAATTAATCCACCCAGCGGTAACACTATAGTATTTCTCGTACAAGGTATATATATATAGAGCAAATAGCAAATAGCAAAAAATCAGATTTTACCACTCAGAATTCCATGAAATTTTGCATAATTGTTTTCAAGGGGCAATAAACCAAGTTTTTTTTTTTCTTGAATTGGACCGTTTTGAAATGGAGAACTACTTTGGCATAGGCGCTCATTTCCGTTATACAGATCAGAAACATCAAATATAGCAATGAAACAAGTTTCAAATACAAAAGAAGCGCTCCTAGCGAATTCACTTTTACTGCTTTCATCCGTATGCCGAAGTAAATCCTATGACGGAATTGGAATCAAGAAACAGTGTTAGATTTTTAACTATATCTCAACTCTTTATGAAATCTAACGGTACTGCTGCAAAGGTAAATCAATGTTGAAGTTATCTTTGATATATTTTTTTATTCAAACTTGTTAAAAAAGAGAGGTTAAGTGCGGGTTGTGCTTAGTATGACGAAAATTCGATTTTAACCCACGAATTTTGTATGATAGCCTTATGGTGAAACAGGGTGTTTATTCAGTATGACTAGTGCTTATCGAAAATGTTATTTTTTCTAATATTGAACACAATGGACACTTTAAATTGACAATAATAGTAGAACATCAAGTTTAAATGTTTAAACTTTTTTTTCGCAAATAAAAACATTTATTTTAATCCAAAAAATCATTTGCTAGGTAGGGTAAATTATGGCTTCGGCACCCATTGACTGTTTTCGGCAACCGAAATTGAAACGTTAATTTCACTGTATTTTCCCATCAAAACTCTTCGCTGAATGTATTAAGCAAATTCCTTACCTTTTCAGCTTCAATCTGATCACATTTTTACGACTGTGCAATCCTGTTATGCCATATATTTCTTTAAATGAAATATACACACTACAAAATACGGCTGATTTCGAGTTGCCGATAATAGAACAGCTGATTAACACGCAGTTCAAATGGAAAGGGTGCCGAAGAAAAAGAGACTGCCGACAATAGTCACACTCACCTGAGAAGTTTGGAGTGTTGTAAAAACATATTCAACCCGTTTTGATCAATTCTGTCAATTGGAATTGGTAAAACAGCAAGCAGCAGATAAATGTCAACAAACAAACCTGTCATGTATGTGTGTGACGCTGAGAAATCACTAATAGAAGTTCGGACGCTGCTTAGATTGACGAGAATACGTAAATTCCCCTACCTATGAACAAACTAAAAAAATGCGCGAAAAAACAGTTCAAAATATTACTAAAATTTGATGTTCTACGATTTTTGACAATTTTAAAGTGTCCATTGTGCCTAATATCAGAAAAGTTCGCATTTTTGATAAGCTGTCAAATAAACGTAAGTTTAAAAATCTTGCGCACGGGTAAGGGAAGATTCATAAATGATGTAGCATTTTAGGGTGACCAGTTCTGGTATGATATTTTTCAAGTGACAAACACAACAGTTACTTACCTTCATAGCATTCTCCCACGCTCGCTCCAGTACGATCGGGTGTGTCCAGATCTTGCGCATGAAAGTGTAGTCCTCTAGCAGATTTCTACCTCCGACATCCTTCCGGAACGGATTCCGTTTGAGATACTGCTCATACAAATCCTCCTGCACCGGTGTCAACGGAACGTACAACACGTATTCGAACTTTTCCGGTAGGAAACCTTCCAAAACGGAAAACTCTTTCCGTTGCACAAAGCTGGCTAAGTGCTTGTGAAGAATGAACGACTTCATCTTCATAAAGCGAATATCGGCTACGTTGGAATCCTTATGCTGGCCGTCCTTAATCGGCTTTGCATAATTCTCGTTAAACTCCCGCTCGTTGCCCAAGTAAGCCGGTTTTACAAAGCTCACCATGCAAAAATACTCATTGAGATTATTCTGAATGGGTGTTCCAGTCAGAATAATCCGTCGTTTGGTAGCCACTTCCGAGACGGATAGGTTGGTTTGAGATTTCCGATTTTTGATTATATGACCTTCATCCAAGACCATCAGATCTGGTCCTGGATTGATCAGGATTCGACGCACTTCGGTGCGGACGCGTTCGGAATGCTGCTCGCCATTCTTATTCTTGGCATCGTAGAACACCAACGCGCGAAATGCTTCATAGCCGATTAGCAAACAGTGGGCATTTTTGCCGGTCACGTTGTGAAATCCTCTTAGCACCTCCATTTTCTTGTAGATGTTACTGAAAAATTGATAAATTCAAATACCTAAGTGTACCGATACTTTTCTACATCACCAAAGACTTACGAGTTATCTGGCAAGTAGAAAATCTGAACGCTAACGTCGCTTTGAATGTCACCCAACCAGTGGCGAATTTCTTGAACCCAATTCATCACGGTGGACTTGGGACAAACCACAATAATTCGCTTCGTGTTTAGTTGGGGATAGCAAATCACTGTGTTCATCAGAGCGATGACCTGCATGGTTTTACCGAGACCCATGCAATGCGCCAAAATCGATCCGGATCCAGCGGACTGACTTCCCAAACTACCCCCATAGCAGCAATCGTACATGAACTTGATGCCCTCTTTCTGATGGGGTTTCATCTTTGCTACCAACTCCGGATGGACCCGAATGAATGTTTTCTTCTTCGCATCATAGTCCAGAATCAACTGATTAGCCGACAGCACATCACCAAAGCGTTTCATTTCCAGTTCCAACCGTTTATTGCTCCGGACAATTTCCTTCATTCGAGTAGTCTCGTTACGAATCGCTCGCTGGGTCACCCAAGAAAGGTCATTTACTCGCAAACGCATTTCAATATCCCTCTTCATCAGCGATAGTTCGTAGTTTTCTCCTTGAGGTGTTTGAGTTACACTAAACTTCGGCAGGTGAGGAACTATGTAGCGTATTTCTTCGTTTGTCGGCTCCCGGTTCGGATTCGGATCGGTGTTGGTTACGAATTTCGATTTACTCGATCCATCATTCATGGAAATCAATTGAACGTTTGAATCCTTCGAAGTACTGGGTTCCGCTTGATAGAGAGTGTCCAAGTCGGGTTTATCTTTGATTTGGGTTGAGGTAGGTTCGGATGGTTGATACAAGATATACGGTTCAGTTTCTGGTTCAATATTAACAGGTTTTTCTTCAGTAGCCGTTGAGGGAGTCGAGAAATTCGGTTCAGCATCTGTTATTAATCTTCGGTGCCCAGTTCGACGGGTCTCCATCCCCACCGGAGTATCGTTCGACTGTTGCTTCTGTAGTTTAGCTGTTTCATTACTGATATCGTGTAGGGAAAATCTTGGAGCCACGGGTCGAACCGACTCACGATTATTTGGAGTGGCATAGCTATGCATGTTAAATATGTCATCATTAATAACTGGATCATCTGCCTTGTCCGATGCGCTGCTTTCCTGAATTTTAAGGGCACCCTCTTCAATATCGGATTCTTTGAACAAACTTGGATCGTAAAAGTTCTCCGAGTCATCATTCGCTACAAGGCCCTCAACGGAATCTGGATTCAAATCGACAAATGGTTCTCCAGTGACGTCGCCCTGTACTTCGCGAATCGATTCCGGTTCATATTCATTGAAAACCGGCGTTGGAGAACAGCAATCTAGCTCGACGTAGGTTGGAAGTTCTTCGGTAGCCTTTATCATTGTCACAGATTCATCATGTCCTGAAGACGGATTACCACTGTCCTTCGTGGATTCATCTGCAGGTGCACTTTCGGCCACTTTGCCTTCCGGTGATACGTATTCGGTATAATCTACGCTGCTAGAACGATCCACTCGTTTCATGGGTGTAGATTGTATATCATCGGGTGCGACTGCCTCCTTACGAATCCGGCTCGCTCGATCAGCTAGTTTATTTTTTCTCGTTTTTATTTTCGCTGTTACAGGTGCAATAGCGGCTACAGGCACTACTTTATGATAACACTATAAAATATACATATTATGTATCATTTAGATAAAATTGTATTCTAATGTAATAATACTCACCCTCTCGGTCAAGTTGGTCAATTTCTTTTTAAGGCTCTCCAATTCTAAATCCTGATCGGACGCATCACTGATGAGTGCTTGCTCCAACGCATCGCAAACCATTGCGATCTCTTCGCTCATTTTGCGCACTTCCATGATCATAAGCGGCAGCCGGTCTGTTGCCTTCATCCGCTCAATCGGGTCATCTGTCGTTGAATCCGAGTCATCGTCCTTGTCGCCACTTTCGACTGAACCACCGTTGGTCGTTGTCTTACCATCCTCCGATACTGTGTCATCAACGCTGCTTGCCAAGACTTGCAATCGTTTACGAAGCGCCCGGCGTCGCACTTTACCAGTGTTTGTTGGAGGAGGGGTTGGCGTTACGCCCCGGTCCTCTTCGTCTGACGATAAATCTTTTTTCGCTTGGGTAATACGTACCTGCCGTTGAGAACGGGTGCGGATAGTAGATTTTCTTTTTGCTCCCATTTTCACCTGTACAATAATGATTCACGATATAAATCAAACGCTTGAAGAAAATTGATTGTCCAACAATGCAATGAAACAGCACACGAAACGAAAACACAGCTATACCATAACACGAATGAACAGGTTATGAAACGATCCCCAAAATTTCATAGAGAATAGGTCCTGCAATATAGATTTGTCATCTCTTTCATTCTCCCGTTGTTTAAATGGATGACGAAATTTTGCGTCACACTCCGTCAATCATTTAAACAGGGAGAACGAAAGAAACGACAAATTCACACTGTCTCGCTTGTTTACAGCACGTTGGCTAATTTCCAATGAGCTGGATTACCGAGGTGAAGCAATCGGTTAAGTTGTGTGAGTAGAACCCCTGTACGATACCAATGAGGTACAGAGAGAGGTGACGCAGATCGTGAAATAGGGTTGTATTAGTAAACCAAAAAATCAACGTAAACGCAAGTAGTGACGTCACTACTTGCGTGTACTTGCGTGTATCGTACAGTGGTTGTGTGAGTGATTGCTTCACCTCGGTAATCCAGTTCATTGGTACGATACAAGCAATTAGTGACGTCACTACTTGCGTTTACGTTGATTTTTTGGATTACTAATCAACCATATTTCACGATCTGCGTCACCTCTTTCTGTACTCATTGGCTAATTTCCACCGACATCAGATCTGGCAATACTACACGTTTACTAGTAACAACCCAAATCCATATTCGCCTTCACCAGAGACGTTGATATAGAGAAGCGCAAAGAAAATTTCATACAAAACAGTGGCACGGTTTTTGAGGGATCTTTTGGCAATGCTTTTGGCCACCATGTTTCTTCGAGTGGCTTCAAATGACTTTCATACAATGCCGCAATGCTTTTTTCGGTAAGGTCAAGATATGGTTCGCATTTATGCGGGTTCAATTTTCCTTGCAGGTCCGGTGCACTTGGCCCTATAACGGACACAACGCCGTCATCTGCAAGCCCGCATAAACGCGAACCATAAATTGACCTTACCTAAAATGGTTAAAAATTGTTTATAATCCCTGCTAAACTTTAACTGAAATGGTTATGGAACTTTACATGAATTTGGAGGCGAACCAGCCCAAGGCTGAGAGCCTCCCTAATAAAGATAAATAATAATAATAATAACTTTACATGAACGTTTAACGATAAAGTTTCAACCTTATGTATTATGGTTTTTTGGAACTGGACCTTACAAATAATGGGTTGTTAAGAACCATTACCATTCCAAATTCTTGTTTTCTCCATACATTTTCAGAAAAAGAACTATATAAGAACGTTTTTACTTATGATTTGAGAACATTAATGGTAATGGTTATGGTAGTCAGTAAGGTCCATTAATGCTTTTGTATTTTCGCTCAACTTTACGTGGAATATATAGTGAATTGGTAATCAGTAAATTACAGGCAACCAATTCGCGATATATTCCACATAAAGTTGATCGATGTTACAAAACCGATGTTACAAGTTCTCAAACCATAAGTTAAAAGGTTCTAATATAGTTCTCTTTCCGAAAATGTATGGAGAAAACAAGAATTTGGAACGGTAATGGTTCTTAACAACCCAGTTCCAAAAAACCATAATACATAAGGTTGAAACTTTATCATTAATCGTTCATGTAAAGTTCCATAACCATTTCAGTTAAAGTTTAGCAGGGATTATAAACAATTTTTAACCATTTTAGGTAAGGTCAATTTATGGTTCGCGTTTATGCGGGAGCTCCCATAAGCGAGCAATTTTCATCAAGACAACCATCAATGTCTTTTACATAAAAATTATATAGAAGGGGGCTTAATCGTGAGCCCTGGGGGAGACCCATGTAACTAATTCGTGAAGTTGTCGAGTTTCCATGAGAAAAGCTAATATATTTCTCATACAACAAGTTGCTCAAATAGTTGTTCATAATTAACCACTTCATTTGAGCAGTCAAAATGACGTTTACTACCACTCGAACTTTGAAATAAAACATTATTTTGAAATTTTTTCTTCTAGAACCACGAGAAAAGTAGCCAAAATTTGTGCGTTTCATAAAAAAATAGAAATTAGTTGGTCTTTGTTTTGTGAAATCGCTGCTACACGAAACGAAAATCAATTATTTTATTCATGTGTTTCACTTATACATTTTTGCCAAACATCAGCCTTATACATTCCGTAAGACAAACCATATAGGTCCTATAAGAATGCATAAAAGGTATGTGTGACCGCTTATACATTTCATTTGACACATGATCTTCATAAACTTTTTGCAAGGCGTCTGCTTATTAGTTGACTTATACATTTTATGAATAATCAGCAATAGAAATTTGTCAAAAGGAATAAGGAGATTTCTATCCGTGTATAAACGAGGGTAGAAAGTCACGCCAAAACTGCTTGACAAAGTGGTCAATTGGTGAAAGCCCACTATCGTGGAGTTTATCCGAAAGGACATCGATACAAATTCAAATTACATAAATCTGTAATCTGTAATATAGATTTCTGTATAGAAAATTGTCTAAAACTTAGTACCATTCTATAAAAATAGGCATCACTGATAGTTCTGCGCTGATAGGTATGTACTAAGAATTTTGTAATATAGATTTCTGTATAGAAAATTGCCTAAAACTTAGTACCATTCCATAAAAATAGGCATCACTGATAGTTCTGCACTGATAGGTATGTATCAGTGTATACAGAGCTTGAATAGGTAATTAATTTCCATAATTTAATTCGTACTGCTCATCACTCATAGGGCACACACGGAAAGATCCGTTAGTTTAGGGTCACGTTCACAGGTTTCTCCTGACCCGTGGCATTGAGATATATACAGGTGAGGCACAGAGAATTTGTCGTCTCTTTTATTTCTTCGCTGTTTAAGCGGATGACGGATTTGGCATCAAACTCCGTCCATCATTCAAACAGCAGGAGAACGAAAGAGACGACAAATTATCTCGGGCTCGCATGTGTACTTCTCATAGGACCCGTGGAATAATCGCAACGCGAGCGAGTGAAAATCGAGTCCACATCTGTCAAATTTGGGAGTGTTTTTACTTGCGTTCCCGTGAAGTTCAGTTTTTTTGGGAGGAAAACCGCTCATTTCCTGCCGTTTTCTAGATTTGTGTTAACCCGGATGTTCCCTTGATTGTGTTTTGACCAATTCTCGCAACGATCGACCGCTCTGTGTGCAGTTTTTACGGATGTGTGTTTAGCTAGCGATTTTATCGAAAGAGGGCGAGTGTGCGAAGTGGGGGAGCTAGAGGAACACCTACAAAAAATCCGCAAGAGGATCCGTTTTTACGACGATTTCATCAACGGGGACAAATGCCACAGCCGGACCGGGACAGTGAAGGCAACAACAAAATGACGATGAATGACGACGGGAATGGTACGGGTAACTCTGCTGTAACAAACTCGGCCAACAACAATTCACTTTCGACAAATGCAACAACAAATGGAACTAACGGAGGAGGAGAAGGAGGAACAGCAGCAGCAGCAGTCATTGGAGCTGGCGTTAACAACAATGGCAGTATACTGAACAATCTGGATAGAAGGCCGGCGAACAACAACGGTAGCAATGGAACAAGCGCCAGTCCCCGGTTCATCATTCCGAAATCGAACGAGATCGAAACGCTCCCCCAACTGAAGGACGCTCCGCCGAGTGAAAGAGAAGAGCTGTTCGTTCAAAAGCTCCGCCAGTGTTGTGTATTGTTTGATTTTTCCGAACCACTGAACGACCTGAAGAACAAGGAAATTAAACGTTGCGCTCTGCAGGAAATGGTCGAGTACCTTAGCACCCAACAGCAGGTGATTACGGAACCAATCTATCCGGAAGTCGTTCAAATGGTTGCGGTAAACCTATTCCGGACCTTGCCGCCTTCGTCCAATCCGAACGGTGCTGAATTCGACCCGGAAGAGGATGAACCTACGCTAGAAGCTAGCTGGCCCCATCTCCAGTTTGTGTATGAACTTTTTTCGAGGTGAGTGTAGATATATTATGCGGAAGGATTGTGTTTATGCGAGAAGCCGAAGTTTGCACGATAGAAAGTAATTTATATAGGTACGACGATTGACGTCACATATTAATCTATTTTCTTCGATCCCTGCGGCAGAAAACGAAATTGCCGCGTTCTTAGTGGCCAATAAGCATATTGTCGTGAGTGCTATTATACGAGATCGGACTGAATTCATATGGTTTAGAAATTTGTCACTAAATGTATGGAATTATACGTAAAACATATTTCAACTTAGAAATACTCATTTGTAATTCATTTTTTTATATGCTAAGAATCTACCACTACTTATGGTCAATAGCATTTTCAATAAATTAAAAATTAACAGCATAGTAGATCACCGTGCTGTACCTGTATTAATGTTCTATAACCGATTTATCCTCTTTCATTTTGTTTACTTTCGTCACTTTTGGTGTAGGTAGTCGAATGTTTCGCTATGCTACTTCAATCTTATAGGTTATTGACAAGGGCGAATACATACCTATGTAACGATTTTAAATTTGACTATGCCATGCATAGACAGTGCTGTTCAGAATAACAGCAGCGCTGGTCGATTTGCATATAAAACTGCCATATTGGACATGTTTTGGATGGGTTAAATTGAACTAAGAAACAATTTGTGAGTAAATTTGCAAGTAGCTTAAACGAGATCGATGGAGAAAATAATAAGAATTGTTTAAACATTCAATAATTCTTACGTGATGTATTTATGTTATTAAATTTATTCTATAGGTCGGTAATTTGTTAATACTAGATGAACATTTCAAAAAGTCCTATCTGCTTTGATCGATTCTCTTCGTCGACTTTCTTGTAAAATCATTTCCCGCTTTGTGCATATTAGATAAACTTCTCTTGCCAAACTATGTTGTGAAAATAACAAGAAATGTGTTTGTATAGCCGTATGGTTATCAAAATAAAGTCTAGAATAGTTAGTTGATTATCAAAACCTTGAATAAAACGACTCCTCGAAAGCCGTTACCCCAAATGGTATACTTAACATCACCATATCACTCTGAATTCATTTCCAAGTTTTTTAAATATTCGAAGGAGGGAATATTGTTTTCATTTTTATTAAATATTCGAAGGAGGTAACCCAGTTCTTTCCTTACTATATAAAGCATCGTAAGGCCATACACCATAAAATGGTTAACCTCCAGGTATTCGTAAATTGCTTCATCCAGAACTTTTCATCTTTCATCTAAAATAACCTTCCCTTTTTTAAAAATCACGTGCTGTTCCTTGCACTTATATTTATTTCAGGGTAGTAGGACCACCGACGAACCGACATGCCACAAGAGCATTTCGTTTGTCCACAATTATGCGAATTGTCAAACTAGCGATTCGAACTTTCAAACGGGCGATCAGATCTGTCAAATGAGGTGAGACGCAAACCAAGACAATATAAATTATACGTGGGTTCGGTAGTATTTAACGTGTTTAACGTATTTTAAATATGGCGTCTTGGGCACGAATTTGAAAGTAGCTTGTATGAGCTGTCACGTCGGTTCGTCGGCAAAGCTTTAACCATACATTTCTCAGAGTTGGTTGGAAATGCTATCTAACATGAGGCTTTAGTGTGATAATTTATTAGCTAGAGAATGGTCTTAGAAGAGGGTAGGTAGATAGTTCCGTTAGAATACATTTCTCATTTTATGTAGTATCTCAATTTTCTGAAAATCGTTTGAAAAATTAGCATAGGTATTTCGTAAAAACAAAATTCTAAATTTTTCCAGCTCAATTGGATACGACATACAGCAGAAAAATTTCGCAGCATGACTGTTTTGGGTGAAAATCAGTTTACACTGCTATTATAACGAACAGCAGTGTACCTGAATTTGTACTATATTGGCTACTGACAGGGCTAGATTTTGGCAGATTGCCATATGACTGTAAATTCGAAATGACTGAAACCTGTATGGCAATATTCCACACGCTAGCTTCGTACTGTCATCGGTCGTCACTTTCGGTATGTGCAACTTTTTGAATTCCTTATCCCTTGATTTCCCGATTTGAGCTTCTGAAAATGCTCTACAGCAATACCTTTTGCTGATATGCATATGCATTATAAAATGTAGAAACAGATCGATCTCACAGTAGTTCTCACATTCTAACTTGTTCCTCTGTCTGTATTGGGGTATTTCCCCAAAGTTTCACGCGATCTTTGTTTTAACAAAACGACGCGCCGTGCTTTTCGCTCTTGGTTTACGCAATCCTTATGAGAAATAAAATAACGGCCTTTTATTATGGGTTGTCGTTAATTTCGAAAAGTAAAAGTCACGTGAAACTTTGTGCGTAAAACCCCTGAAAAAACCGAAAGGTGTATCAAATCTAATGGGACAATTAAGTGAATAGGTCTGCTTGGTGTGATTGATGAATTGAAACTAAATTTATTCGTTACTACATATTATCATGGCATGCTACAGCTTATAGCTAATTCATCGGTTACTTCTTCATCAAAATCCCTTGAACGGTACAATATATTAGGCTTACTACTCCCTCTTTCCACTCCTCCGGTAGCTGTTCTGTATCCCAGACCCAGACGGGTGACCTAATTCCACGCAGTTTTGAAGCAGTTAAATTATGTTTATTTCTGTTGATTATGATAGTACATTGATTTAACACTTTAATTGATTAGCCTACCTGTATCTTCATCTTTGTTTAATTTGATATTCTAATTTAATATTTGCGTTTTTCAACTAGTTCACAGAATACCCCTATGGGGGTGTGTTTTGTTTGAATTGAAAAAAGTGAAAACCTACCTAACTACGAGTATAAACAACAATCAATACGAAACTAACGATTTTAAATTGGCTCACTAGTTGACTAGCCTATTGGTCCCAAGCAAACGATTAACGTATCCCATTCTAGTCGAAATTCTAGTACTACGCACTGTTTGTTTTGATTCGCTATGAAAGTTTGACAGATAAAATGAGGGGTTATTGGTTTTTCGTATGTTTCGAGGGGTGAATCGATTAGCTTGGGACCGAAGAGAGTACCAGAGCTGAGCCAAAAAGTAGAGCTCGTTTCTTCGGGACCTACTAGTCTTAGAGTTACCTCTAAGTATAACTTAACCCAACGTGCTACATCACGTATGATCTGATGATTTGAGTTGTCTCTGAACCTTTCCAGGATGAATACTCGTTCTTCTAAAGTCTTAATTCCAGCCAGGAGGTGGATCTCAGAATTTCTAGTCCACGGGGGACTGTTCAGGAGCATCCTAAGCATCTTGTTCTGAATCCTTTGGAGTTTAAGGTGATGGCATTTGCGCAACTCTCCTAGATTGGCATCCCGTATTCTATTACGGGAAGGATGATTTGTTTGTAGACTGCAAGCTTATTTTTCAGGGATAGAGTAGACTGGGTATTAGCAACAATCAATACGAAACTAATGATTTTAAATTGGCTCACTACTTGACTAGCCTATTGGTCCCAAGCGAACAATTAACGTACCCTATTCTAGTCGAAATTCTAGTACTACGCAATGTTTGTTTTGATTCACTATGAAAGTTTGACAGATAAAATGAGGGGTTATTGGTTTTTCCTATGTTTCGAGGGGTGAATCGATTAGCTTGGGACCGAAGAGAGTACCAGAGCTGAGCCAAAAAGTTGAGCACGTTATTTCGGGACCTTCTAGTCTTAGAGTTACCTCTATGGTATTAGTGGATACAGTGATCTTGATTTTGGTTTTGTCAAACTCCCTGAAAATCAGCTTGTTGTCTAGTGTTAAGCCGAGGTAGACTACCACTTTCGACCATTCCACCAGGCAGATCTTATTATTCACCGACGGATCTTATTATTCACCGACGGAACAAGTTTATAAGATTTAGAGTTTGGAAAGATGATGACCTGGGTCTTTGCCGCGTTGATACGGATCTTCCAGCTGTTAAAATATTCAGACAGGACGTCCAGGCCTCTCTGAAGTTTGGTAGTTAGAGCTCCGATGACCCTACCCTTGTAGACGATGGATGTGTCATCTGCGAACAGAGACAACGATCCACCATCAGTGAACAGGTTGATTGGGGCCAAGGATGCTTCCTTGTGGAACCCCAGCACCGATGTTGAAAGCATCTAACGTCCTATTCGATAGATAGTTGTTAATTATCTTCACTAGGAAGATTGGAAGACCGTACTGCTGCAATTTGAGCATCAGGCCATCATGCCAGATATTTGTCGTGACCGGACCGAGGTTTCCAGTCTCGGCCACGGCTACACGAATTAGCGATGCAGCTCCCACAGGTGCGGCTGCTTCAATTGCTGCTGCTGCTGTTTCTGTTGCTAATGTTTCTGCTGCTGCTGGAGGTCCGTCACCTCCAAAATTCGTTACAAGAATCACTTCAACGAGCTTAGGTACTTCATATTTATACCTGCAACCTATCAACATTCTCTAACCAATGAGATTCCGTGTACACATACGGACTATCACGCTTCACGCCCACTCGATTCTACTTATTATTTATTCAACACTAACTCTATCTACTACAACATTGTCGAACGCTTTTTCGACGTCCAAAAATGCAATGGCAGATGTTTTCGAAACAGACTTGTTCCGTCTGAGAATGTTTGTTACTCGAGTCAGCTGGTGGACGGTCGAACGACCTTTCCGAAAATCAAACTGTTCCTCGAGTAACTAGTTGTTTTCTTCGGCAGATTTTAGGAGCCGGTGGTAGACTGCTCTTTCGAACAATTTTGATAATCCTGAGAGAAGGCTGATTGGTCGATAACTTGAAGGAGAGGACGGATCCTTCCCAGGTTTCCGGATGGGTATGACTTTAGCTGACTTCCAGCACTAGGGGAAGTAGCCAAGTCGGAAACACAGATTAAAAATCATGCTTGTAGAATCTGGAACTCAAGTGTTGTCGAAACCTGGGACCTTCATGTTTTTAGATGATTTGATATAGGCCAACAGTTCGTCAGCCGTAATCTCGGATTCCTCGGAAAAAATATTGGGAATCTGATGGAGGTTGGTTGCGTTTTCAGCAACCTCAGCCTCGTGAGGGCTGACGATGTTTTGTCCGAGATAATGGGAGCTGACGAAGTGTTGACCTATCGCGGCTGCCTTCTCTTCAGGAGTTAACAGATGAACCACTGGGTCGCCGTAACGATCCAGTGAGATCAGTGGTGGAATGGGTCTTGGCTTATTTTTAAGAATTTTGGTTAGTTTCCAAAAGAGCGGATCCTGTTAGCAAAGTCCTGATTTCTGGGGTCCACCATCCTGGCTTGGATGGGTTTTGTTAGACGATTACAGTGGGTCTAAAGGACAGGCAGACCAGAGCGTTGGTACTGCCTTTGGATGGTGTTGCGGAGTCTTATAAGGTCTTTGGTAGACCTGTCAAGGTTCAGAGTATTACTCACCTGTCTGGATACTGGCACATGTTTGCAGTTTTGAAAATTTCTTAAATAATTATAAAGTGTATACCTAACACCTATACTTTGAATTCAATTGTACATGCAGGTAGGAATTACCCTCCCCTTGGCTAGTTTTTGCACCTTGCTGCTGGTGGGTGGGCTCAATTTCATGCTTTATAGTGGAGTGTTGGAGACGGTAGGTTTATGGCCGGCGTTGCTGTCTCATTCCGCGATAGAATGGCGTCATGGGAAGGCGATGGGGATTACTAAACTTCCCCTCTCTGATGAACCACTGCATGAGAGAACCAAAGATCTAGTCTGGCAGTGATAGTATCACACTTGTTACTCCTTTGTTTAAAAGCCGCGTTGTAGTACGCTTACGTATAGGCACGGACGTTGGGTGTGATACCGGCGGGTTTTGCCGCAAATCACTCTTATTTTATTTATTTTTACACAGATAGATTTATTTGGGTTTGCAAGGGAATTATACTATTGGAATATTTCAGAAAGTGCCCAACAGTGCTCCTTCTATTTGCGTGACAAGCTTTCATTGTTGTTTTCATTGTTGTATTACTCAGGGAACAATGTTTCGTACAAGGTACTGTAACTAATCTTATATATGCTTTTTTATTTGGGATAAGTGTTTGAACTATGGCTCAGGATTTCCACTGTGGCGTGCTTCTATTGTGACATACCCATACGTATTTTTGTGGTGCGACATAGTGGAAACGTGTGAGCGTAGTTGGAGCATATATCCTAGGGTCAACTAGCCTGTTAAGTTGTAGAATAAATCTGGCTATTTAGTATATTTGTTAATTGTGTATATAAAGGTATATAACAAAAATATCGGCAATGTCAATAGTGAAAGTCATATTCGATCACGCGCTTACGAATAAGTGAGGTTTTGGGAAGGATGTGTTAAATATATTGATATATTTGAGGTGAGAATTAGGATTGTTGTGCTTTAGTATATTTTCGGTAAGGTAGGATATGTAAACTAAACCTTTTTGAGTAGATTTTCGAAAATCAATTCATGAAATTTACAAGAAAGCAGAATCTTTCTGAATAATTTATTGAAAGACAAGTAGTACACCTTAATTGAAACATTGCGCTGCGTTTAAAAACAGTATTCTGCTCTTATGATACTTGACATGTCATACATCTAACATAGTAGTTGTAGCATTGTCATACGATCTAACAACAATTGCCTGCAAATAGTGCTAGAATGGTCAGCAGGGCTAAATACGGATCCAAACTAACATAACTCTCCCTCAGTTTAATATAATTACCTTCGGTGATTTGATAGATTTTCCAGATTGGTAAGAAGAGCGTGTTAATCACTGTTTAGTGATCAATAACACTAATAATCCCACTCTAAACTTTATATTTCTCGCGTTATACTCAGAAAGTTTTTACAAATACCTAAGATACCTGGAAATACTTTAAAATACTTAACCTATATTTTGCATTAGGTTGTTACCACCGTTGCTAAACACATTTTAGTTGTTTATTTTTCGGATGTCGTCAAGGATTTTGTGTGAATATTTGAAAACTGCAGTATTAATATTTTAAGCTTTAACAGCTATTTTAAATGTTTCTTTTGTTTTGTAGGCATCAATATATGGTCTTGGAATAAGAGAAGATCATTGCAAAAATGATTCACCTATAAATTAATGCCGTCCACGATGGAAAAAACAGCCGCTGATTATTTCTCCAATGTAGAAACCGATTCCATCATTTTCGCATTATACCTGCACTATTAATTATGTCAAACTTTGATGCGCATTTAGGATGATTCGTTCGACATGTTACAGGAAGAAGTCAGATTGACAATCATGAAACCTTTCCCTTCGTTGTTTGTTTGGTTTTATCGATCGTTGCGTTATAAGATTAAGTACTTTTCGACCGTTATGATTAGGCCATGTAACACTAACTTAAGACTCTTAGGGCTATCGAATCTGAACAAGAAGCTGTGAAGGTTTTCCAAACCATTCGCATTGTACTTGTTACCGAGCTTGTGGCATCTGTTTCATCTTGTAGCTTCCCACCGAACGTGTTTATTCTGCCGTAAAGAGCCTGTTTTGAAAATTTCAAAAATAATTTGAAATTGTATATAATTTGAATTGGATTGAACACGATGCCGCTTGTGCATGGTAAAAATATAAATTAAGATAAAACAGTAAAACACTGCAACATTTTGACGAAATGTGCAGAATTATGGCGCACATAGTAAACATGTTGTAAATATGAACTACATTTCCTCGGATTTGGAACCGTCAATTCTCATCTGTTAAACCATTATTAGAGCTGGACATGATTGATAAGCCATATCTGCTATGTGTTGAAGTAGAATTCATTTTTTCATTGACTCTATTAACTAACAGCAACGATTGTAAAACTTAAATTTAATCAATTTATTTGAACACATGACATGTGAATAAATAAGCATCGATTATTCAAACTTTTGAATAAAAACAACAAACCAATCAACTTATTTAACATGTCACGTTCTGGAAAGATCGAACAGTATAAGTTATAAATTGGTGGCGCAAGTGGGTAATTGTTGTCTACCCACTAAAATTTATTAAACTGGATTCATTTTTTTAATATCCTTTGTTCGGTAATGGGTTGGGCATTTACCCACTTGTCCCACCACTTTTCATTTACCCCAATGTACCTTTCATTTTTAACTACCGCTTCGATTCGACCGGGATAATCTATTTGCCACTATGGATCAGAATGATAGCGATGCTAGTGTTTTTGAAATCCTCAATCACCAGCACCTTGTCGTTGGTGGTTCCAATTACTTAAACTGGGAAATTTATGTTCAAATGAAAACATCGACTGCAAAATGTCAATAAAACTACTTCACCAGTCTAAAGTAACACTGTTTTCCAACCCGAAAAGCGTAATGCAATCAGCACAATTTCCTACTGTAAAAGGTTCGTTTCATCGTCGTAGTTCGACAGGAAATGCGCAGCGTAACCCTAATATTCTTTGACTTGTATAGGAATAGCCAAGAATTTCTTTCTTCTCCATACCTTATTCCTTGTTCCTTATTTTCTTAGGAATATGGAACAGCTCTGTAAAGGAGTCCAAATTCATGATAGCACACTGGAAAGTCTGCTCGAAACTAGAGAGGTTCTAGAACCTCTCTACTCTAAAGCATCAGTAATTTGAATAACACGATTTTTTTACGCTATTAGATAAGCATAATTGACCAATTATCATGATTTAATTGCAATTAAAATAGATTAAAACAGGAATTAATTTCATTTAATAAGTGACGAAAACTATAAAGTTGACGGGGCTTGCAACAACAACCAACGACACTTTCAACCGGTAACTACGATGGAAATTATGCAAGTTTAAAGTACTTAAAAATACTTAAGAATACCTATGAGAGATTTAAACGTATTTAATGTATACTAGTACTAAAGTTTAGAGTGGGATACCCCTAGCTAATAATAAACTAATCAATAACACATAAAACAAGAATTACAGGTATTGCAAAACATGGTCCTCCGACTGCCCGTGTGCTAGCTGTTTTGTTTTGCTCAGGACGATGGTTTTGCAATAATTGTACTGTGTTGCCACCTCTGCTATTAGTTGCCAACTCTGTTCAGAAGATTTCTGTCATTCGCATTTAGAAAAAAAATACGCAATTCGATTTAAGCTTTTGTTTATTTAAAAATGTTTTCTTAAAAATAAGCTACCGTGCATATCAGTCACTTTTGATCACCAATAGTCTACGATAGGTCTTGTCTATTTTGATTAACCTTACCGAAGTCGGAAACCTTATATCTAGTCCATATGTTAAGTTAGGGCGAACAATTCAAAATGAATGTGATACGGCTGTGTATGTGTAGACTAGACTAGACTAGACAATTCAAAATGAATGTGACAATAGTGCCGCCTGTAAGTCTATCTACTCAAGATTATATGTTAGGGCAAACAATGAAAAATTAATGCCACACTAGCGCTACCTGGTGAGTCAATTCTGAACTAAATTCTTCACCTTAGGATAGGTCCTTTTCATCTGGACAATTTTACATACAACGTAAGTTTTTTTTTAACAGACGAAGGGTTAACTGAGGTAGAATGAAATGAGATTTCGGTCGATTTCTATTAAAACAATACATATATAATAAAATCGGTATGATCCACGTAATAAAGCACTAACCGATTGATCTCATCTCTTTGCAGGTTTCTTGAATCGACAGACTGCCAGGCGAGCGTGGCCAAACGGTTCATTGATCATAGTTTTACTCTGAATCTACTGGATTTGTTCGATTCCGAGGATCCACGGGAACGCGATTTTCTAAAAACTGTCTTGCACCGGGTGTACGCAAAATTTCTCGGTCTGCGAGCTTTCATTAGGAAACAAATTAACAACATATTTTACAAGTTTATCTACGAAACGGAACACCACAACGGAATTGCTGAGCTGTTGGAAATTTTGGGCAGTATTATAAACGGTTTCGCTTTGCCACTGAAGGAGGAGCACAAGCATTGTTTGCTCAAAGTACTGCTGCCGTTACATAAGGTTAAGAGCTTGTCGGTGTACCATCCCCAGCTGGCGTACTGTGTGGTCCAGTTTCTGGAGAAGGATCCTAGTTTGACTCAACCGGTCATTAAATGTTTGCTGAAATTCTGGCCCAAGACGCATAGTCCAAAGGAGGTGATGTTTTTGAACGAGCTGGAAGAGATTTTGGATGTTATCGAGCCGGCAGAGTTCCAGAAAGTGATGGAGCCTCTGTTCCGTCAGATAGCCAAGTGTGTTTCGAGTCCACATTTTCAAGTTGCTGAAAGGGCTTTGTACTACTGGAACAATGAGTATATTATGTCGCTGATTTCGGAAAACTCCAAGGTAATACTCCCGATCATGTTTCCGGCTCTGAACAGCAATTCAAAAACACATTGGAACAAGACCATCCACGGGCTGATTTACAATGCAATCAAACTTTTCATGGAAATGAATCAGAAGCTGTTTGACGAATGTCACCGGAAATTCAAGGCCGACGAGCAGAACGAGATGGAAAAACTGAATCGACGGGAAGAGCTTTGGAGGCAGGTGGAAGATCTTGCTCGGCAACATCCTGTCTATCCGCAGTTTGCTCTCACGGATGATGATGATGGCACAGTTGCTTCCGGTGGCGAGCTGGCTCTCGCTGGTTCGACGAGCTCAATGGACAAGGACAAGGATTCGATTGTAGGTAGATCGTACAATAGCAACAACAGCACTAGATCACCGGTGGTCCAGCAGAAAACCTAAGACCGTTCCGACTTTTGCTACATCTTTACATTTTTTCTGTTTTAGCAAGTACCTTTTTTAATCATGAGAGCAAACAGAAAGTTTGCAGACGAAGAATTCTTTGAGAGCGTTGCGTATATATGTTTTTAACACTGAAGAAAAGATTACTAATGTAGGTAAAAATAAAGAAAACAAGAGTATGATCAATTTAGAAACTATATTTAAAAACAAACACGCTAAGCACACGCGCGTAGCCTATGATATATATATATATATATATCCGAGAAATGTGCAGTATGATAAGAAGATAGGAACTATACTGATCTAATTGGTCTACCTATTTGATGCTTACACACTGCTGCACGGAGGTACGCAAACATACAAACACTAAATACGTATAAGGGTAGCATCAAAAACTCTATTCTTCGATTAGGTTTGCTGGGACAAAATAAAGTCGGACATCTTTTCTTCCGTTTCCTTTATATATATATATATAGTTTAATGACAAGACTATGTTGTAGCATATAGGTTCTTTTTAATAATGACGATGAAACGAACACTAATCTACTATTAATTATTACCACTCCTACTTATACTCTACTCTTTTAAGACGAAACACTCTACCTGTACTGTTTTTCTGTTTAACGAAATAGATTGAAAAGAGCAATTTCTAGAAAATATAGGACAAAACAAGAACACAAAAATGCATGCTAGAGGATCCCGTCCTTAGCGGGTTTCGGGTACACAAACAAAAGAAGAAGAAAACACAAAAACGAAAATTCTCAAATTCAATACAGTATAGAATCAAGAAGAAGTCCATTGTTGACAGAGCCCTACCCCGTTTGACAAAAATGTGGAAAACCGCTACTTATACCGTTAAATAGTTATATTGTACCTCCTGGTTGTACTACGACAGAATAAGGAAGAACAGCTCATGATAAAAAGAAGGGAAAATAATCATTTAATTCTTTTGAACATGGGCTGTTCCTTTTTAGAGTTTATGCCAACAGCGGGGTAGAGCCGTTGACAGGCTGGTACTATAGTCGCTATATTAATAGTCTGGCGGATAGAATCTCGGGAACCAATTGAGCTGTCAAATAGCGGAACCAATCGAGCAAATCACGACCAACAACAGAAAAGGGCACATCAGCTATTGCGAACAAAACTTCGGCAACCCTTTTCTCGTGACTCAAGGCTCGCCTACGCAAACTAACACCATCTTTGCTTTGGCGAAAGTTTCCCCTATCCGATGATGCCGGTAATTTGCGTTCGATTGGCGAGGAAAGAATCATCTACGTTTTGTTTATAAAACTTCATAGTACCTTTTCAATTGTTGGTCTAAAATATATTGAATTGGATCCGCTTTATGATAGATCGAAATTCTATCCGCAAGACTGTGAATATAGCGACTATAGCTGGTACTGCCGGTAATAATTTCGCATTGCAACAAAGCAATTTCGGTTCGTTGGATTCATTCGTTGCGGTATCACCCGGGGACCAAGAGATACCGTTTCCGAGGTGGATCACAACGGGATGGAACGTTTTCGTCTACTACAGTAAATTATATCTCGTTATATATTATTTCTAACTGTGAGAGAGAAAAGAAATGAAATGATTCCAAATGACTCTGTGTAATACTGATTATAGGCGCGTGAGGAAAATCAAAGTCGAACGTAAGAAGGGAAAGAGAAGATAATTGTTAGAAATTTTCACTAATAAAAAATGGCAAAAAATATTACAAACACAAACAGCGAATAATTTACTAACCACAGTTAGTTCATATCAAGTATTTTCCCTAATATAAGAAACGATGTGAAAGTCTCAAATTCAATGTCGATTGGTTCGCTTTTTAAATTCGTTTATTTCATTCGACTCAAATGTTTATGTAAAGCTATTCTCAATCCAAATGAAAGTTGACGTCTTTTATTATAATACTGCCCATAAATGAAGGAACGGCTAATTTGCCACCCATGTCAAATCTTCAAAAACTGCTGAACCTGGTAGATATGGCCCTGTGGTAAAAGATCATAGAAAAATTGAATTTTGTGGGCAGCGGAATGAAAAATCCAAATGTCCAATATGCCATACACTGCCTATAAGCGCATATCAGTCTCATATGGATTTTCGTCAATTTTGAGACAACAACGCTATCCATTGGCATCTACTTTCATATTGGGGATGTCACTTCACGGTGAAAACTTGTCATCACGGTGAAGTGATTCCTATTTGATTTGTACGTCAATCACGGTTCTTATTCTGAGTATCACTTCCTTATCACCGCGTAGTGACACCCGTAATAAGGTCCATTATGTGATAAAACTATGCACTTTGATTATGAGAAATGTGAAAACAACAAAGTCAGTTTGTCCCATCAAGCAAAGCAAAGTAATCGTATATCAGTCCCATCCTGAAATTCAATCGTCGTGACAGTTTTGCTTTTTGAATTGTTATATTTTTTGCTGATACAACAAAACATGAGTATGTGTCATTGCACTGATTATAACGTGAAAAAATATCAATAGATTTGCCATTATTTTCCAACTATTTATATGGGAATTGCACTTCGTAGCTTCGACTGCCATTTTCACAATGTCTACACTCATAAAATTCGACACATTTTTATTGGCGAATTTCCATGATTTTCATGTGTCCACACATAAACAGAATCCACTCAGAAGTACACATGAAATTTAGGAGTCATGAATAGTAACCACATGAATTTGATGTGTACACATAAGAACTATGTGTCCGACACATATATATCATTTGTTGATCACATTGCAAAAATTCATGTGTGGGACACAAAAATTAGTATTGAATTTTTATTAGTGTATTTTTTCCAATGGGACTGATATGCGATTATACACAGAAACAAAACCCTTAGCACAGGAGTGGAACTTCGGATCAGAAAGTGGCTCCACTTGTCATTTGCGAACACTAGCGCACCTAGCGGTAGAAGGCATCTTCTGCCTGCAGTTAAGATAGGCAGCATGCTATGATAGTGTGAGTGCACATAGAAAGCCCGTGTGGAACGCTACCACAACACATCGCTTGTTGAGCAGAAAAACGAACCATTTTTGATTAACCGATTTGTTTGCACTTCCCCTTCTGTTCTGTGCCCTTAGGCAAAATTACTATATTGATGGTTTAAATTAAATACTCCCACCAATAGATTTGTGCAGAAACGAAATTCATTTAATTTTACTATTTTTTTGTTGGAGTAAATCGGTAACGCAGTGTGCTGATCACCTCCTTGGAGACCGAACGTCACCCCTAGCAACCTAAGTTTTCTTAAATAAACAACGGTGAAAAACAATTCATTCCTGTTCAAGACTCCACTCAAGCTAGTCGTTAAATAAAATCCATTCTACTTTTAAACTTTGCTGTTCCGGTTCTTTCTAACTATCAAGAGGTTATGGGCGACTCACGCAAGGATTTGGTCCACGGGATCCCGCAGTTCTCGGGCACCGGTTTCGACAATTGGCAATTTCGAGTGGAAAAGTATCTGAAGTCCGTGAAGCTGTTGGATATCATCAAGAAGGATCCTCCGATGGAAGCGGCCGAGCTCACGAAGTTCCAGGAAGATGACGGTAAGGCGGCGTTCCTGCTGACGTCATTTGTTCATGACGATTTGCTGCATTTGGTGCGGGACAAGGAGACGTCCAAGGAGATGTGGATGAGCCTTGAATCCGCCTACGCCAAGAAGTCCGTCTCGTCGCAGACATTCGTCAGGAAGCAACTTGCGAAGCTACGAATGATGGAAGGTTCGTCTGTGAAAGATCACCTGAAAACCTTCGAAGAGCTGATCCGACAACTGAAGCTGGCCGGAGCGAAGCTTGAAGCTAACGATATTGTGTCCCAGCTGTTTGCTACCCTTCCCGAGTCGTTCGATCCGTTGGTTACGGCACTGGAAAATCTAGGTGAGGAAAACCTAAAACTGGATGTTGTTCGCGAGCGCCTTCTTGCCGAGGAGCTCAAGAAAACCGACCGGGCAGCGGATTCCTGCCAAGAGAAACCTGCAGCATTCCAAGGATCGAAGCAGAAGCCTGGTAAGTTCAACGGAAAGTGTAACCGTTGCCAGAAGAAGGGGCACAAGGCCAAGGACTGTCGTGTGAAGTTGAAGACAGATGGGCGCGCTGAAGCTAACGCTGCTGCTGGAGGTAAGGCGGTGGCTTTTATGACCGGGAGATGCTCCCAAACAAAGGACGAGGGAGCAGTTTCCTTTAAGCTGGATTCCGGAGCCTCGGACCACCTTGTGAATGTGAAGCACTGTTTCGCCGACCTCACGAAGCTGAAGCACCCTGTCGTCATAAACGTGGCGAAGGATGATCAATCCCTGATTTCCCGGCACAGTGGCACGATCAACGGCGTCAACAAGGAAGGTAACTATATCAGCTTGAAGAACGTCCTCTTCGTACCAGATCTTCGAGCGAACTTGCTATCTGTGAAGAAGATGGCAAAAGCGGATCTTGATGTCACATTCACGAAAAAGGAAGCGATAATGAAGCAAGGTCGTGACCTGATTGCGAGATGTCCCATGCGGGGCGATTTTTACGAGCTCGATCTCCGTGTCGATACGGTGGCGGCCAACATGTGTGGAGCTGTGACTGGTAACCTGTGGCATCGTCGACTGGCTCATTTGGGGAGCAAGAGTTTGCAGACACTCGCGAATCATGGCATGGTAACAGGTATTCCCGAGAAACCAGATAAATTGGATTTTTGTGATGTTTGTGTTCTCGGAAAGCAGTGCCGAGAACCATTCACGGGTACTAGAGTCCGTGCTACAAGACCTCTAGAACGAGTGCACTCCGATGTGTGCGGTCCAATTACACCAGCGGCTTGGGATCATTCTCGGTACTTCGTCACCTTTATTGATGATTACACGCACTTTGCAGTAGTATATCCCATCAAGAAGAAGTCCGAGGTGTTCCAGAAGTTTCGAGAGTACGAGGCCATGGCGAGTGCCGCTCTGGGACATTCGATTTCGAAGCTGACTGTCGACCAAGGGCGCGAGTATTGCTCCAATGACCAGCGTGATTGGTACGTTTCCAAGGGGATCCAAGTCGAGCCAACCGCAGCGTACACACCACAGCAGAATGGAGTGTCCGAACGGTTCAATCGGACAATCGTCGAAAAGGTGCGTGCGATGCTGATTGAAGCCCAAACTCCGAAGAATCTGTGGAATGAAGCGGTTCTAGCGGCGGTATACCTGACGAACAGAAGTCCAACCACCACGGTATCTGATTGGAAGACTCCTGCGGAAATGTGGACTGGTCACAAGCCGGACGTTAGTAAACTACGTGTGTTCGGCTGTAAAGCATTTGCTTGGGTGTCCACGGCACAGAGGAAGAAACTGGATCCGAAAAGCAAGCCTGCTGTGATGATCGGCTATGCGCCGAACGCCTACCGCCTGTGGAACAAAGAGAAGAAGCAGTTATTCCTAGCCAGAGATGTCAAGTTCGATGAAAACAGTTTTCCGTTTGCCACCCAGATCCGTGACGAAACTCCTTTGGTTGTTGCTCCGTACGAGTTCGAGGATCAAGATGAGGAAGACGTGCAAACCCCTGAACAGTCCGTTCAACCCGATGAGCCGCTGGTGGCTCAACATGACGACATCCTGACTGATGATGAAGAAGGCGAGGTTGAAGACGACGGTGTTGAAGAAACCGGAGCGCTCCCTTCGCAACTAGACCGTGGTTCAAACCTCGAAATGGAAACCCCGAGGCGCAGCGAACGGGAGCGCAGACTCCCCGGTAAGTTGAAAGAATTTCTGGTTGGAAAAATTTTCACTGCCGCGCAATCCCATTCTGCAGATGTTCCCCATAACGTTTCCGATGTACTATTTGACGGTTCCGTTGGACGAGATGAGGCCGAGCGTTCGATCTTCGATGTCCCGGAGGCGTACAAGGAGATCGCTGGACGAGCCGACGAAGCTCTTTGGCAGCAAGCGGTCCGTGAGGAACTGCAGTCGCTAGCGGACAACCATGCTTGGCGATTGGTGAGATGCCCTGCTGGTGTGGTTCCGCTCAAATCGAAATGGGTCTTCCGAATCAAGCCGGACGAGCATGGCGAACCGATCCGTTACAAGGCGCGCTTGGTGGCAAAGGGATTCCAACAGAAGCCCGGAGTCGACTACAACGAAACATATTCCCCCGTAGCAAAGTTAGCCACGATACGAACCGTTCTTGCTGTAGCAACCCACCGAAGGATGCACGTTCACCAACTCGATGTGAAGACCGCATTCCTCTACGGTGAGCTTGAAGAAGACGTCTACATGGCCATACCCGAAGGAGTTGCAGCACCGCCGAACTTCGTTTGCAAGCTGGATCGATCGCTGTACGGACTCAAGCAAAGCCCCCGCTGTTGGAACAACAAGCTAAACGACCTTCTACTGGATTTCGGCTTTACCCGTTCCCGGCATGATTACTGTCTATATACCAGGATCGACGATCGAGGGGGGGTATACATAATCATCTACGTGGACGATTTGCTCATTGCTGGCGATCGACTGGACCTGGTGAAGGAGATCAAGCGTGCTCTTTCCAAGAAGCTCCAGATGACGGATTGCGGCGTGGTTAATCATTTCCTTGGAATGAAGATCCG